CAGGTGCAACTGGACTCGAGAAACCCCATCTCGTGAAGATGGATTTCCCTATTTCAAAGCCGCTATATCGCCCATATATGATGTGGGGCATTCGGCATGATCTCTCTGGCGCGCTATGTAGCATTTTCTCATGGTACACTGCTTCCATGATGACCCCTTGCTATACCGTACATATGCGATATTGCCTCCCTCGCGCCCTGCTTTTAGATCAAGCAATGAAGAACCGCTATAGCAAGTTGAACTTTGTGGCGGCGTCTATTCCCCATGCTATCCGTTACAGTGCAGTACAGTACAGCGATAGTTGGAGGAAAGACGGAAGCGCCGAACAAGCCCCTGAGCAGGACAACTGGCTCGGAGACGAGCATCTTCAGCGAAGGAGCTAGAGCACCCCCGAACAGAACCTCGGAGATCACTTTGATTTTCGGTCGTGGCGCGTGATGATCGAGCGGCTGTCGGGTGTGGGTTCGAGTTTGGTGCCGTGTACCTTCATTAACACAAGTACGGCCAGAGGACTCGGTTGGGTAGTGACCGTGAGGATGCTATGTCAAAGGCCTAGTACAGATTGTCCGGGATGAGCGAGTTTCGTCACACTTGTCGTAGGCTCGGGGATGGAACGTGTAGAGGGCAAGTTGAAAGCAATTGTCGATCAAACGTTTGTAGGTCAGCAGACCGTTGAACGATGGTACCGAAATAATGCCAAACTCATCCCTGCGCCAGCTAGGGCTGTGGTCTCCCAAGCAATATCGACTGCGGCGAGGAGAAAGAGGCAGCGATGATATTTCTGTGAAGCAACATCCTTCGTCGGCGTAGGCGAGGGATCACGGTGGGCTTGAGACATGTCATTTCCCCCGTAGAGAGTACCAGGTGATTAAACTGATGGTGAACAAACTGTACTGCGGCCCTTCCCTGCGGCATGCCGCTTTGAAGTTAAACATTGCTCACCTAGCACTTTCCCACATTTCTCTGTCAGCTCACTCTCAACTCAACCTCTCTATCAGCTCATTCTCAACTCAACCCCAACTCACATCCAACTCACCCTCCCTTACCCATTGCCCTTTCCCTTTGGTCTCAGAAATAGCCTTAAACCCACTCTGTTCGAGTTCGTATAGCAATGGTCAGATCCTTGGCTATTTCCAGACCCTTGGAATGGCGCCCACGAAAATCTGCCTTTTCTCAAGACGACGTGGAATTTCTCCCATTGACGCCAGAATGAGGAATCTCTAAACAAGCTCAACTCACACACCGCCTAGCGAGATGTAGACAAACAGCAATGCCCATCGACAACTACGCCGTCAATCCGGCGGAGACATTACCAGAGAACGGGTGACGGGAATCTTCTATCACTGTACCGACCGAGATCAAAGACGCTCTTCCGCCCTCTAGCGCAGAGAGGAGGAGGTCTGTTGAGAATTGACCAGAGAAAGAAGGCAGTTTATGAGGCGCTGTGTTCTGTTCTGGCTTCTATATAGGCTCTGACTCACACGCCCGATGCAAATTTAACGCCGCCAGCCCGACAAAGGAAAATAGGAACGCCAGGGTAGTGAAGTGGTGAAAAGATGTTTTCCGACGAAAGTTCCAACAATTACCCGGCTTGATTTCGGATGCTCACTCTTTCAGCTTGGTCACCTTCAAGCTGATGCCGTCGCGGGGTCGCAGAACCAGGCGCCACATCTTCAATTCCTCAGGATCTTGGACTGACGCGTCTGGTGCAAAGTGAAATTTGCTCAACAGGGAGCACAAGATGGTCTTCATCTCGACTTCGGCGAACTTGCGTCCAACACAGCCTCGTGGACCTATGAGCAGAGCACAGTTAGCACGAACACACGAACAACAGCCACCAGGAGAGAGGGGGAAATAGGGGGTGAATTTGAGGCCGGTGTTTGCAATCCGGAGAGGCTTACCCTGGAGGAAGGTCATGAAAGCATTGGTCGTGTATGTTGAAGGGAGATTCTTCCACCGGGATGGGTCAAACTTGCTGGCGGTGTCGCCCCAGTACATGGGGAGATGATTGATGGCGTTGGCCATGAGGTACACGACCGTTCCCGCAGGAATGAAATACCCTCCGAGGTGGTCGTCAGCGATGGTGCGACGGACGGTCATCGGAATAGACGGGATGTAGCGCAGAGATTCTTTGCAGACATCTTCGAGGTATGGCAGCAGGTCAACGTCGGCTTTTTCGATTGTCTCAGTGTCCTGGCGGGCATCTGGGTCAAAGAGGAAAGGCATATGAGAGCGGATCTCCTCGCGCAGTTTGGTCTGCACATCTGGGTGCTTGGCCAGCATCAGGAGCGTCCACGCCACAGAGGTTGCGGTTGTGTCGTGTCTAAAGTCAGCATCGACCCAAAACGTTAGCCTAGGTGTTCCACCGACACGACACCAGAAAGCAAAGGGGGGAATCAGCATTTACCCGGCACCGAGGAAAGTCATGACTTGGTTGCGCATGGTCTCGATTGACAACATATCCTCCTTGCTCGCCGTCATATTGTCCCGGACGATGAGGCCGATGATATCTTTCTGAGCCGGTTTCTTTTGCACAGTGCCTGCGTTCGCTTGCTTCTCTTTGATGATGGCCTCGGCGCGGCTTAGGATGATGTTCCTAGCCACGACGATGTCCCGGTTTGTGCGAGCGGGCAGAATGCGGACGAGCTGCGTGAAAGCTGCGAGGCCGTTGAGAATGCGAGCCTCTAGGTCGAAGCTGAAGCACCGCCGATATGCGTCCCGCAGAGGTGTCTCCGGGTTATCGAGGGAGTCGATGTCGGTTCCCATACCGGCGCGGCCGATGATGTCCAGAGTTGTCCGGTTGAGCCACTCTAAAACCTCGATGGCTTTGCTCTCGGTCTTCTCGTCCGTCATCTCCTGCTCCCAAAGCTCCGCCATGTGCAACGACTTGGTCCAGAAGATGGGCATTAGAGACCGGATGGACGTGATCGAAAAGGCGGGCGTAAGAGCTTTCCGCTGCGCAACATGGGCCTGGCCCTCAGCCAGGAGCACGCCTACTATCGCATTAGAACAGCCGTTGCAAGACAATCCAAAGCCAAAATGGACCGGTTGGGATTGGAGGTGGAAGTTTACCTTCGCCCAAGACTGGCATCATCCATTTCCGGGCTCGCTCAGGCTTTGGGTAATTGTACGGATTCCGGACCGTCATGTGTTTGATGGCATCGTCGTCGGCAATGGACAACCGTTCGCTACCGAAAGGGAAGAAGTAGCGCACAATGGGGCCATATTTCTGGTGCCACTCGCGCGCCGGCACGCCACATTCTGACGTGATGATGGTGTAAAAGTGGCCCCAGAGAGGAAAGCCGGGCACGGTGGGAATGTGCCTTAATGGCGAGAGGTAGAGAGGATAGATCCAGCCGCAGTACAGGACATACGAAACAGTTGCGACGAGCAGGGACACCTGCAGCGCCGTGGCTGTTCCGATGTTTTCAGAGTACTTGCCCACCAACAGCGCGGCAATGCCAGTGACGCCCATCAAGGGCACGAATCCGATCGATGAAGACATGGCGGCAGGCGACGAAAGCAAAAGGTCGGCCGTGAAGGTTGAGAGGGAAGAGAGCGGCGGGTTCAAGGAGAAATATGTCTGCTGAGATCGTGTTGCCAACACTGCCAGCGAAATTGTCAACCGAATGTTTGGAAGTCATTTCCTTGGACGTCCCTTCACCCTCCCTCGCTCGACCGAACGAGACGATTGACACACTGCATATGACAGGGGTTTCAGGGTAAGCTCTCTCCTGGCCCGGGCATGCGTCATTCGGATGAGGCTTGGGTGCGCCGATCCACAATGAATGTCTCAGAGCGAGCCGACCTCTCTGGGTTGAGGATTCTGGTATTCGGATGCACACAAGGGATCCGGGACTTGGCACCGCCATCACATCAGCGAAGCGACGTCACGCAGGCATATCCCTGCGCCAGGCCTCCTTAGCAGTGCCCAGCCTTGGGGTGCACATACGAATAGCAAAATGGCTTTATTGGCGACTCTCTGATGAAACTTGTCAAACAGGGGCGGTTTCGGCAGTCTATTGATCCCTGGTCAATACTGAGCGGGAGATCGACACCCGGGGAGATCCCTTTCGGCTAAGAGGCGAATCCGGCTATCTCCTGATAGGGAGAAGCTTGGCCAGAATGGACGAACTCGGCGAAGGTGGACCGGCTTGGCGAGCACGGAATAGGTCGTTGGTTGCAGCCCGAAGATCTTCGCCTATCGTCCCTGTGGGGTACATCAGCACTTGCTAAGGGCGCCACAATCTATCTATCGATGCTAACACCCGTGAACGGAAGTATGTTTATCTTATCTTGGATGGCGAGTCCTCACCCTGGACAGGGCGTACCCATCCTTGACAGACATGACATAAAGGCTTTACCAGCCCTGCGCAGGTGCTCCTGCTCCGTTGCCGGGGACTTGGATGGGGCAATGGTGCTCCACTTTCCAAAATGTGACCTTCTGGACCGCCCACTCGCCCGTCGGACTCGACGGCACATGGCCGCTCCAGGAGGCTGCATGGTAGGGGGGCCCAGGTGGCGCTGTTGTATCAGCGACCCGGAGTGGTAGACGGAGAGTACTCAGATACACCCATTGGAATCTGGTCCCCGACAAACTTCAGCCAGGGGGAACTCCTTAACAAAGTCTGACAGGAGCTGAGATCGCGATGAGATTGCTACTCTCCAAGAAGGACCTCTATCCTGCCGCTCTGACGTGCGGGATGCCGACTCAAATTGAAACGGCATGAGGTCATTATTGGACCTGGAGTCCAGCCCCGTCAAGACTCAGGGCGGTTCGATCGACGATCCCCTTTGCTCGGCCATCATAAAGACGCCATCAACCGCACGATGTCCCCCGAGTAAGTGCGGCCAGTTGTCTACCCCCTACATTCGTTTCCCAGACACCTTCGTTTCGTCACTCGCTACGTGTTTTTTCGCGGCTCAGGTTGTCGCTCGCTCGCGGATCCCCTCTTAGTCAAGAACCCGATTCCGCACGGCTTCTTCCACACCTGACCGCCATGGAGTTCATCAACGTCACCTACAATGCTGCGGCAAACTTCCTGCCGTATGCCACCGCCGCACCCCTCGCGCAGCAGCTCCGCGGCATGCCCGCCATGAACGGCATGATGGTCAAGTCGGATCCGTGGACTCTTTTCGACAAAATGTATACAGGGATCACGGGGGTCGGGGGGGAGAACTTTCGTTTCGTCCAAGGTCGCACGCCAATGTCGACGTTCAAGGAGACAGCCATGTTCATCGTCACCTACTACGCAGTCATCTTCGGCGGTCGCGAGTTGATGCGCAACCGTCCGGCGATGAAGCTGAACAACCTGTTCATGATCCACAACTTCTGTCTGACCATGATCTCGGGAGCGCTGCTGGTCCTGTTCACTCAGCAGTTGGCGCCGGGTTTGTGGGAGAATGGGTTGTACGACGGGATTTGTGGTGCAACGGGCTGGTCGGACAAGCTGGTGGTTCTCTACTATCTGAACTACCTGACCAAATACGTCGAGCTGCTCGACACGGTGTTCCTAGTGGTCAGAAAGAAGCCATTGACCTTCCTGCACACGTACCACCACGGCGCGACGGCCTTGCTCTGCTACACCCAGCTAGTCGGTCAGACTTCGGTCTCGTGGGTCCCCATCACGCTGAACTTGGGCGTGCATGTGGTCATGTACTGGTAAGTTTGGCATTGCCCTGGTCCGTCATCTTGAACGAGGAAAGTAACCGAGTCTAGGTATTATTTCCAAGCCGCGCGTGGAGTCAAGGTGTGGTGGAAGCAGTACATCACCATGTTCCAGATCACCCAATTCGTCCTCGATCTAGGTAAATATGCATATCCGACCTCTGTCGCTGCCGGAGCAACCATTAACATTTGGCAGGGTTCATCTATTTCGCCTGCTACAACTACTACGCCAGTACCTATGCGCCATGGATGCCACATGTCGGCACGTGTGGCGATCCTCGCCAGGAAGTTGCGGCGGCCATGGGCTGTGCCATCATCTCATCCTATCTGGTCCTCTTCATCATGTTCTACCTCGCGACCTACAAGAACCCACCGGCCAAGAAAGCCATGCGACGAGCGGTCAAGCAGGACCTTCCCGCCATCCCGGAGACCACCGCATTGGCATCGGATCTGTTGAAGTCGGCCACCGCGGCCGTGATCGAGAGTGTCCAAGAGGGCAAATGCACCTAGGCTTAACTTTACGAGAAATTGGCGTACAACGATCAACCACGCAGGAACGGGTACTGAGTACCGAGTACATTGATCGAACGCAGGAATGGCTACAGAGTACTGAGTACAGTGATCAACAGGCGCAGGGTGGAGTACCGAGTACTGAGTACATTTGATATCAGATAATATTCCCTATGTTGTCCAGAATGGTATATAGTCTCAATGATATACAGTCGATGAATAGTATTGTGTTCATGCGAGCACAGTGATCGAACCTTGGGTGTGTTGGTGGAATGAACGCTTCCTTCCCGGCGAGGCCTCCGTCCGAGAACAATCGTTGTCTTCGCGACGGTCGAGCAACGTCAAAATAAACAACTCCGGATCCTGCCTGGCTAAGCCCGCGTTAGCCAGCCTTATGTGTGGGGCGATCGTCGTGCCCCCTGGCGCCCTGAAGTCCGAGCGCGGACAGGGTATGTGGCTCACTAGGGTGACCGGGTAAGCTTTGCGCCTCCTGCAGATGTGGGACTTCACTAGCGTTGGCGTTGCAATAGTTCCGCTGGGTGACAGGTCTGGTTGATTTGCCAGTGTACTGTGATACACGACAGGTGGACTGAGACCACCTTATCCATTCGCTCGGACTATTTCTCTCCCTGGTACAGGTTAGCGCACGCCGTATTTGTACAGCGATCGGCCGGGCTGGTTCCTCGAGGACTGGAGACGTACTGTGCATTGGGTATCGGGCACACAATCTACGAGAAGGACCACCCCTCCTCTTCTGACGTCCGACTAGGCTAGCGGAGGCGTCACAATAGTTCGCAGATTGAAAGGTCCGATCTGCTTAACAGGGCATTGGGAGACCAAGTGATTCGACATCGTCCTTTCTCACCCGGGTGAGATTTAAGCCTGGCTCAGCTTATGAATCCTCCAAATATCCCAACCGGAACGTGATGTAGCAGAACAGTCGGGGAAGAGTAGAATAGAAAGGGTAAGACAGAGTACTCGTAACATGTCTTTAACAGGCGGTTCAGCAACATACTTGGACTCCGTGAGTTGTGGAACCGGGGCCCAGGTGCTGACGCGGGCCGTGTCTCTGAGTCAACTTGCCACTTTATGGGCCTTTAGTACGCGACGCGCGACAAGGACCTCATCTCCCCCTGGTGATCCAGGTTTCGCGTCTCGTCATCGAAAGAAGGTAGCTGGGGCTCGATATCGGAGCCCCCTGAGAGTGGCAGAGCTCTGCCAACCGAATATATTGTCGTTGATGCCCCCTTATGTAAAAGCTTCATCCTCTTGGTACGGCCTGGCTGCAGCACACCACTGGTCTCGAGAGCGATGATGAATAATCTCACACCCTCGGTTGCCGAGGGTTTCTCTCTCGTCAGCATGGCACCCAACTCGACGAGCACATCCTTCGTCGATTTTGATCATCCCATTCTCACGGCCTGGGGGTCGACCGCCTCCCAGCTCCTCACCTGGAGCCATGCCTGGAAGCTCTTGCTGCTGGCCGTGGTGCTCGTCAACCTCAAGGCCTTCCCATTCATCTATCACCTTCGCATCCTCAACGGTGTCCGGTTTGTGCTCCGGTCGCAACGTCCCAATCCAGATATTCAGCCGGAGCAGCTCTTCCAGCCGCTGGTCATGTCTTCCCGGGCCTGTCAGATGGAAGTCGACGCGCTCGGCCACAAGTCCAACAGCACTTATTTCGCCGACGTTGATGTCGCTCGTGCTCACTACATCAGCACCGTATTTGGCAAAGGCATCGAACGCATTCGAGGCGACACCAGCCCGAACTTCCTGAGCAAGAGACCTCGAAGCAGCTTCACAGTCGCCCTGGGCGCCGTCAGCTGTACCTTCCGGAGGGAAATCAAGCCCTACGAGAAATACGACATGTGGACCCGGATCCTCAGCTGGGACGAGAAGTGGCTGTATGTGGTCACCCATTTTGTCTCCAAGGGCGCCCAGATCGAGCCCAAGTCAATCTCCTTGTATCCTCGGCAGCAGCAGAAGGCCCCGCAAGACAGCAATAACCACGGCGACGACGACCCATTCTACCGCCCCGAGCCCTTCTCTCCCGGCAGCCAACTCCGATCTGCCAAATCGCCGGTCACGGCTTCGGCGTTGAGCAAGGTCGTGTTCAAGAATGGGCGCATCACCATTCCCCCGCAGGAGATGCTCAAGATGTGTGATCTCTTACCTGTGGTCAGCCCGGCAGATGGCGGTGATGAGAAACCGCAAATCAGTCAGGCTGACAGCAGCAGTCCCGAACGAGCTAGGCTCGCCGAAGCCATTGAGGCCGAGCGCCAGCAGGGACTGCGGCAGGCGACTCTGCTTGCGGGCCAGATAGAGCTGGATCAGGATTTCCACAGCGACGTGGCCCTGGGAAGGCACTACGATGGCCTCGGCATCGAGGGTGTGGTGGCCACTCTGGCGCAACTGTTCAAGATTTCTTCGTATCAGCTCATTTGATGAAGCCATATATTGTATTGTACATATCTATTTGCTTTCCCCAGCAAGCTACACGGCGTTCGCGGTCATAATGTCTATAATGTAAGCGTCACAACGACAGTCCCAACCATGCAGCATAGCCTTCAAATCATTGCATATAACCTGTCTGTCGAAGCAAGGCGAGACGCGATGAACTGGTGCACAGTACACGCAGTCACACACAGTAGCGTGTAAGATGGTGGACTACGCCGGCGGCCATTCCCGGCAAGGCCTGGTACAGGCCGTCATGTGACCCAGTCATGTGACGGCGGTCCCACTGCTCGGCTGCGCTCTCAAATTTTCGTTGCTTCCGCTCTTTCTTGTTCTACCCGGTCCGCTCATGTCTGCCTCAACGCAGAACACAAAGACAAGGACACGGTAAAATTGCGTCCAGGGTAACCTGACGTGAGAGGCTGATCAACTCCGTGTCTGGACAGTTTGACAGCAAACCTAACTACTTCTTTGGGCAATGTGGGCAAGCCTGGTCTCCACCCTCGCTTCCACCTCGCTTCCTCCCTCGGTTGCCTCCGCCCCTTGTCTCCCTGTGGGTCCCATGTCGGGGATTATCAAAGAACGCCGCGTCGCGCATCCCTGCTGCTCACAGGGCCGAGATTGATGAGACGACAAACAAACGTCACGCCTCGTCCAAAGCCAATGCTCGTTGAACCGGACTGGAAACATCTCCCCCCTGCTCCCCTCCGCGTCAAGCTCACCGGCGAGCAGATAGGGGCGTTCGATTGCGATCTGCAAGATGCTCTTCCGTTCGGAGCGAGTGCTAATTCCACGCAGGCCGAGGACTAGGTGGCGGCTACGCAATTGCGGACTATGCCAAGGTTCCTACAGCGGCTCATTCACAGCATGACGGCAAGACTACGGTTCTCCGTCTCTCGCTCCTGTTATTTCCTCCTGGACCTAGCCCCTGCAGGAAACGAGCCCACGAGTTCTTGGGCGCTTCCCAACATCTTGCTTTCGTTGTACTGCTTATCAGTCTCTCGTTTTGACAAAAACCAACCACACTCCCACAACCAGCTCCGAGTCTGCTAATCGAAAGGGATCTCTCGGACTAATGCTGGGTAGGGTCCTGGTTTGAAAACACTCAACACAGTCACTCGTTTAACACAATCGACAACCATGGCCGCCGAGAATGTTGCCGCTCCCGCGACGGTGGAGGAGGAGAAAAAGACCGACGAGGTGGGCTTGAGCAAGGAGATTGTTGATGACACGGGCATTGCAATTGTTCCTTCCTCTGCCTCGTCGAGTCAACAGCACTTCTCGGTAGGGTGCCGGGAAAGGGGACCGTCCAGCGAGTGGGCCGACGAGAAGCTCGAGGAGGGAGAGCAAGAGGACACCTCGCCACTGGGAGCAAGAGTTGGAGAGTTGACAGAAATGGGGATTGAAACAGCGGATAGTGAGGATACGACCGACTATCCAGGCCCGCTGGCTTTGGCGGCAATCCTGTTTGGAATCTCGCTCGCCGCCTTTACACTTTCGTTGGACCGGAACATCATTACCACGGTACGTAGGGAGACCAAGTTCATGACCCAGCCCGGTACCGACGGAGCACTGAACGCTAACCTGCGGTCCTGTCCTTCTTGCTCAGGCAACCCCGGAAATCACAGCACGATTCCACTCGTACGAAGACATCGGCTGGTACGGCAGCGCGTACTTTTTGACGTCTTCAGCTTTCCAGCCGCTTTACGGACGCATCTACGGCTTGTTCGCCACCCGGTCGACATTCATGGTCTCGCTGGTCTGGTTTGAAGTCGGCAGCTTACTGGCCGCTCTCTCGCCATCCTCCAGCATTTTGATCCTGGGCCGAGCCGTCCAGGGCGTCGGCAGCGCAGGCCTCTTGACCGGGGCGTTCATGGTCGCGACCCAGTCGGTGCCAATGAAACACCGCCCCGTGCTGTTTTCCGCGGTCGGCATGCTGTACGGCGTGGGTGCCGTGTGCGGACCCTTACTCGGCGGTGTCTTTGTCAGTACAATTGGGTGGCGCTGGTGCTGTAAGTGATCCCTCTCCCCAAAACTCTTGGAGGTCGGTTCGGAGACCATGTCCACACAAGGAGAGAGTGGTGAATGGCGCTCTTTTATGATTCGAGCAGAGACTAACGGCGGTCTTGATGTTCAATAGTTTGGATCAACCTTCCGATCGGAGTGGTTGTCTTCGTCACGGTTTTCTTCTGTTTCGAGAACAGGTCTCCTCCGAGCAACACGTCGCTCCAGTCGTTCATCCAGCGAGTCCTCCGGTTGGACTTGATCGGCAACGCGATCATGCTCGGTGGCACCACCATGCTGTTCCTAGCGCTCCAATTCTCCGAACAGAACCATACCTGGTCGAGCGCGCGCTGCATCGGCTTGTTGTGCGGGTTTGGCCTTACGATCGTAATCTTCGTCGCGTGGATGCTGTACCGCGGCGACGACGCTCTCATCCCGCCACGGATCATTCGACAGCGCACCGTCGCCGCCAGCTGCGGGGTGGGTGTCATGATCTACGGCGCGCTCTTGATCCAAGTCTACTACCTGCCCATCTGGTTTCAAGCTGTTCTCGGCAAGTCGGCCATCACTTCCGGCGTCAACATGATCCCTTACATGATTGCCAACGCTATCTTCGGGTTGATTGCGGGCATTTTCGTGTCCAAGAATGGCCGCTTTGTGATCCCGGCCGTTGTGGGCTGCGCCATCGGCACCGTTGGCTCCGGCCTGCTCGCCACCCTGAAGCCGGACAGCTCGACCGCGCAGTGGGCGGGCTTCCAGATCCTCATCTCGGCAGGGCTGGGCATGGCCATCCAGCAGGGGTTCACCGCAGTGCAGGCGACGTTGCCCCCCGACCTGGTGTCCATCGGCACCGCGGCCGTCATCGCGTCGCAGTCCTTCGGTGGCGCAATCTTCATCTCCATCGGCAACACGCTGCTGCAGAACCATCTCCTGAGCAAGGACCAGCAGGACGCCATCCCGGGCGTCAACATCCGCGCCATCGTCGAGCTCGGTGCCACCGAGTTCCGAAATATCGTCCCCGAGGAGGATCTGCCCGCGCTGATCAATCTGTACAATGACTCGCTGCAGGCCGCCTTCATTGCTGCCGTGCCGCTTTGCGGTATGGCGTTCCTTCTCAGCCTATGCATGGACTGGAAGAAGATCCGGCCCTCGTCCTAGGCCAATTAGACGCCGAGCCCGGCAATGGCAACGGCGCCACCGTATGTTTTTTCAAGCTACCGCTGGAAAAGATCGAAAGTTTAGCGTGGACATGCCCAGCAGTTGTTACAGTACCTTGAGTCGCCCGACATCTTTGTCTCCAGGGGTGCTACGCTATATGGAGTTGGAGTCAATGTGTTTTTGGTGAGGAGGGAGGTGGTCTCTCGATGTATCCCAGGGGCAATGCTGTTTGTCACTGGGGTCTACTACAGTATCTCATAACGATAACAGTAATGTAATGAATCTTTGCTTGCGTCTGTCGTTTGAAATTCTGAGCCGGGCGTGATGTTTTCTTCTCGCCCTCAGCTACATAACCATTCGTGCGGGATTGAGTATGCAAACCTGGCGGTCGCAACTGCAGCCCCAATCCATTCGACATAGACAGTCCGGCTCAGTCTGGTTGAGACATGCACGAACACCGGTCCATATGCCTATGAACCAAAAACAGCGAGAGTATTTCCTCTTTCCCCGGTCAGCGCATCCCTAAGCAGAGCATGTGTGTCTCTATCACTGGTAAAGCCCTTCGAACGGGGCACTTGGCTAATGAACGTCGGCATTTGCTCAGTTTGTTCTTGGACTAAATCATTCGATCTCGCTTTTCCTCTATCCACGTCTCGACCTTCACGCCGAAAAAAAGTAAAAGACTGAACAACCGAGTAGAACTGTGGCCTCGTCTCAAAGCCACCGTAGTCGTAAGTCAAGTATACAGCTAGGTTCCAACAACGCAGCAGCTTCTATCATCGCGTCGAGCCCCCGCTTGACCGCAGCATGCTCTATACATACAACGGTTTATTCCGCACTGCGCGCGCTGCAAGGGTGAAGCAATGGTCGACTTGATTTAATCATGTAACTACTACTACATACTGTACGGAGTACGGTAGTGGGCATGGAAGCGGGCGTTCCAACTATAGTAATTACCGTAACCAGCTCCTTCGCCATTTCCAGAAAGTAATCCGTACCTCTCTCGCGTGGATTGATCGATAAGTCTGGCGGGCTTGGGCGCTGCCTCGTAATTCATGAGAGCATGGTGAATGGTTTGTTGGTGCAGATGAATATGCTTGCCGCTAAGACGTTCGAACACACGTTTCTTGTCACCTCAACAAACGCCACCTGAGCTCACTTTCAGACCGCAGCAGGACGCCAGCGGACACTGGAGGTAGGGTGCGGTCCATCAAAGCGACTGGTTTGTGAAGGACTGCGCTGGTTTTTTTTGGTTTGTGTCCGACTCTCGAGCAGATCGTTCTCGAGCTTGTCGAGTAGCCTCAAGAGATGGAAGTCCAGCTCCGGAGAAGCTGCCCCGATCACCATTTCCTCGTACGAACCGGCCAGGTGAAGGGGTGCTTCTTAGGATGCAAGCGTTGTGCAGGGCGGCGTCTCCGCCCAGATACAATCGCCTGGAAAGAAGAGATCTTGAGACTCGACTTGCATTCCTGGCATGCACATCACATGGTCATGACTTTTGTGGTGGCAGGACGCGACGCAGTGTGCCTACCAATTGAGGTTGCCCGGGCGAGAGGTGCTGTCTTCGGTCCATAGCTAGCTGGTGGCTGCATTCTAGACTTGCAGTCAATCATACAGTACATTCATCAGACTAGACGGACACCTGGAGGTGCACTTCGAGCAAAATCTCTTGGGTCGCCGTGTCGAGCGAGAATGAAAGTGACGGGCCCGTTGCCTGCCAGCCACGGTCTTCGCAGCTGCAGTGTTGGGCTGGAAAATAATCACGAATTACCACTGGACCGTGGATGTTGGTCAGCGCCGCGTGTGGCTCTGAGGGGATGGCGACTCCGTCCAGCAGGCTGGGTACCTTGGAAAAAGACCCTGGTGGTGTGCTGGCCGGGGGTCAACAGTCATCTTCAAGCACAGATTCTGACCGAGGACACAGCAGCTCGGAGCGCTCAGCTAGTGGCACAGCTTCAACGATAGATGGTCCATGACGTCTTCGAGAAATTCAAGTGTATTGCTTCACCAAGCGTGTAGTCATACGCTGAATTGCTCTAAATCTGCTCTATCTGCTCTAACTGGGAACGGCGGCAGCGTCCTGAAACAACAGTATACCAACCAGCCTGTGGATCTTGCGGTCTTCGCACTCAGCAAATCACCGGTTCCTCACGCGTGGATCTTGCTGAGGGGCAGCGCAGGCGTCCAGATATCGTACGTCAGGCAGCCAGGACAGGTCTTGCTTCGCATTGGATGCGATGGACGGCAGCTAAGCAAGATGACTCCAGACCAAACTGGGCCTGATACAGTAGGTCGACCTGGGAGAATGCAAGGGGCCACAAAGATGGGGCTTTGTCGCGAGCCGCGGAGCGGTGCGGTGAGGTTGCGAATGAGATGCGTCTCCTCCCATCCCAAAACCTGCAAAGGCTGGCGAGGAGACGGTTCTCGCGACTCCGTTTGACCAGAACGCCAGGTTGCACTACAGCCAGTACGAGGAGACCCAGGGGAAGTCCATGAACCTGGTGGCTGTCATGTATACGCCTTTAGGCCCTTTGCGGACCCGGTGCCGTGGACGAGCGTGGAAGTTGACGGCTCTCAGGGGTATTGCATTCACTCTCTACAGCCTGCCATGCCGGCCTCGCAGATTCAGTGAACGATCTTCCAAACCGAGAGCTCGTGGCGAACCATCCCGGCACAGCTTGAACCACCGCAGCATTGGACTCGTTGAGATTCGGGATCCCCCCATGGATCAGGCGTCGAGGAGTGGAGATGATGGTCGACAAAGGGCAGCCGAGGGAACGATCTATGTATATATAGAGTATATATATTTCGGGTAGGATGTTTTCCCGATTCGTGAATCGTGATATCCAGGAATGGAAAGGAAATAACTGTCTTGGCCATTGCTTCGCAACGAGCATAGAGAACATCACCAACACTCGTTTGTAATACTAGGTCATCTGTCTTGGATCTCTTCAGACGCCGAAACCCTTGCTCGAGGAAGTCATAGTTGCTGTCAAGTCGACTACCCGAGAGCCAGGGACCATGACGTGCTCAAAGCGAATCGAATCCCCGGCCTCAAACAACAGGCTAGAGGGAACGCTTATAACAGGAAACGATAGTCTGCTTCGCATCTTCACGCTACGGATGTTTTCCGCAGTGTATTGGACCATCCATCCTCAATAGCGGGTTTGACGTAAGTCGATGATCATCTGTAGAGATCAGTGGGCTGGAACGAAGCTAGTCTTCGAGTGGGTGGAGATCGGACGGCGAGGCTGCCCACGCATTTGAACCATGCAGCATTCGAAGCTCGATTTCTCCAAGCGAAGCATGTATGAAATGAACCTCATCTGGGTGCCGCTGATGGACATGACCCTCTGGACCCATGGCATTCTCCAGCCGCTGATTGACTGGGTGATTGATGTTCATGATAGCTCTTCCACCAGTGAGGACATCCCGTCGTGTGAAGGCGCAATCGTTTGTCGGACTCCTTGACAATGCCTTTCCAACCGTCTTTGTTCTTGCTGAAGAACTTGCCAACAACAACGACAGACAAACGGCATTATTAACAACCTAGCTCACCCCATTAACAAAGGACATTGTAACAACTTAGTATATTCGCGGATGGCATACATCACCACAAGATGCCGATCTTCTCATCAACCTAACTAATCGAAGATAATGTGCTTCGACGTTCCAGGCATTGTATCCAGCCTGCCACAGCATTCCGCACTGACCGAGCCTTGTGCCACCGTCATTTCTGCTTGTCTCGGTGGTTGGAGGCTCTGGAACCGCACTGCTGCTGTAAGTTGTAAAACTGACCCAGTCCACGCGAAAGGCCACAATTACAATCGGAAGATGGGGTATCATGAATCGCGCACACAGTGGAACGCATGTAAGTCCGATGAGATACCACTTTTCAATATCGTGGCTGATATCACCCACGGACAGATTAGACCGTATGACAGACCTGTTGTGGCAGTGGTGGTTCAAGGAGGAGCCCTGGAAAACGGCCGACACAACACTCAACAAGCGGACCAAAGCGAAGAGCAGACAAGGCAAGCCATCAAATCCGAAGGCACAAAGATCTCGAGAGACATGCTGGTGTTTTGCGAGAAGCAAGCGGCAGTCTTAGAGTCGATTAAATTTCGGGGTAGTCTGATGTTCGCGTTCGAGCGGGAGACCGGATCGTCCTGGTTCGATCCTCCCGAGCATGAAAACAGAGAGTCATGGCTACTCCCAACAACGCAGCACATTCGAGCAGAAGCTCAAGCGCTCTTGAGAGAATTTGAGGAACAACGCCTTCCCGACCTTACAGCTTTGCTTCAATCAGCAGAGAAATGAGACCGCTCTCGTCCCGACGCAGTAGTACTTAACGGTTGTGCAAAAGCGCTGGTCGAATAATGCTGTTAAGCCGTATTCGCATCTTGTGCAGATTCAGCAAGTTGAAGAAGTATAGCGATGCGAGCTTTGAGAAGCGACATCGAATAGCAGCTGCAGAGGCCAGCAACAGAGTAAACGGAGAATGTTGTGAATTGAAACTAAACCAATTAATTAATATCTTTCCGGGTCTTTTCAAATGTCAGAGTGTGATTGCGTCATGGTTTCCGACGCGTCAAGTCGCGTCTCGCGCGGCTGGAGGGGATTTGTTTCGATCCCTCTTAACCCTCAGTCCCTCCCAGTGTCTCACGAATAACGATCACGAATACCCAGTATTGTCGCACGGTTCCACGATGTCCCCTTCTGCAGTCGAGATGGTCGACGTGTCTCCGCCGGGCGACGCGTTGAACTTTTTGAAAGAGAATGCCAAAATGGTACAGAACAGCAGTGGCAGTGAACCTCGAGCAGTGCAAGCAGACCAGCCTCATAACGCAAACACGACGCCTCACGAAGAATCCCAATATCTCGACCTTATCAGGGACATTCTGTCCCGGGGCGAGCACCGACCGGATCGAACAGGAACGGGCACGCTGTCACTATTCGCACCGCCCCAACTGCGGTTTAGTCTCTCGAAGGCCGATCCTGCCTCACCCGCGGCCGAGCGAATACCCGTGCTGCCTCTTCTCACCACCAAGCGCGTGTTCCTCCGCGCCGTCACCACAGAGCTCCTCTGGTTCGTGTCAGGCTGCACGACCTCCAAACCGCTCTCGGACGCGGGCATCCACATCTGGGACGGCAACGGGTCGCGGGAATTCCTCGACAAGTTGGGCTTCACTGGACGCGAGGAAGGCGACCTAGGCCCCGTGTATGGCTTCCAGTGGCGTCATTTCGGCGCACAATACACGGACTGTCGGACAGACTACACGGGCCAAGGCGTGGATCAGATCAAGGAAATCGTGCGCAAGTTGAAGACGAACCCCTACGATAGGAGGATCATCCTCAGCGCGTGGAACGTGGCCGACTTGTCCAAGATGGCGCTGCCGCCGTGTCACATGTTCGCCCAGTTCTACGTCAGTTACCCTGATGCGGCGCGGGGGGAGGCCGCCTTGCAACAGGTGCTGCAGAGTGGGTCGAATGGGGGTGAAGAGCAGCAGCAGGCGAGAGGCCATCTTTCGTGCGTCCTATACCAGCGGTCCTGCGATATGGGGCTCGGTGTGCCCTTTAATATCGCCTCGTACGCACTGCTGACACATATGCTGGCTCATGCGTGCGATTTGGTGCCCGGCGAGCTGATCCACACCATGGGCGACGCGCACGTCTACCTCGACCACATCGACGCCTTGAAGGAGCAACTGCTCCGCGAGCCGCGGGAGTTCCCGACTCTGAACGTCAAGCGCGATGATCGAGGGAGTGGTGAGATGGACGGCTGGAAAGTCGACGAGCTCGAGGTCGTGGGGTACAAGCCTCACGGCGGGATCAAGATGAAGATGAGTGTATGATGATAATGATGATGATGAGGGGGTCGATGATAAATTGTGATAACATATTTGCAAAGAGCTATGGGCCCAGCCCCACTGATGGTTGAGAATATCCTGTCCCATGATTCTAATAACACCATTCTGTACGCTGGCTAGCACGCTTATACCCTTCCCAAAAACGCCAGCGCTATGCAATGCAATGCTTGGTTCGGAAATACAAAAAAGGCTCACTTCGCTTGCTTCGGGCCAACCCCTCTGAGCAAGACAACCGTATTGCCGCTCGCTAACGCGCTGCCCACTTTCTCGCTAAACTCCAGCAAGCGTCCTCCTTCGACAAAGTACATGCGTAGTCTCTGTTCCTCCGTCTCCACCCGGTTATTCACGTTGGCGACTTGGAGCCTCTTGGCGGCCTCGTCCAGCATTCTGCCAATCGACCACTCGCTCGAGAAGAACAAGTCGGCCTTGGGCAGCTTGGCCGTCGTGGACGCCGCTTCGGCCTCGACGTGCAGGTATACGCGCTTTTCCGCCGGTAATTTGTCGTCGCCCTTGGCGGACTTCTTTAGCGCATTGAGAGACGCCAGCTGCGCGGCCCTGCTCGACGGTTTCGGCTTGGGCGTCAGGGCTTCCTGCCGTTCCTTGCCCCACGACTTTAACCGGCCGAAGCCGAGCTTGATCTTGTCTTTGTTGCTCTGCAGGGCCACGTCGAGCGGCCGCGCGCCCAGTGGGACCAGGTTCTTGCAGTCGTGATCCTCGCCCATGCGATGTTTCAGGCAATACGTCCTGTTGCACTGTTGGCAGTGGACGCCCAGGTTCTGGGACGTGTTGACGAAGGTTTTGCATGCTGGCTCGGAACATTGCGTTGCGTTGGTGAGGCTGGGTTTGCCTTGCGAGGCTGCTGCAGTGGTGGTGGTGGTGGTTCTGCCGACGCTGTTCAGGCGTCTGTTCTTGGCCCATTCCCCTGCGTGCGTGCATTTGTGTGCGGTTTCCGTTCGGTGGTCGAGACAGAAGGTGTGGTGGCACGAGTCGCAGCGGAAGGGGAGGAAATCGAGTTGGTGGCAGTAGGCGAACTCGCAGTGGGCGCCGATGGCTTCGACGTCTTTGTCCATGGCCGTGTACGAGGCGTCGGGGGCGGTGGTTGAGGACGACATGCTGGGCAAGATGGGGACGCCGATTTATAAGAGCCACAATGACATGGAGCGATCAGTCTCGGGGAGATACTGTGTACAGTGGTACCGCACGGCCGCCACTGCGTAGGCAGGGGAGCGTCGTCGTCACCGATACTAGCAGACTAAGGCTGATGGAAAGAAGGATGAGGCTCAGGCTGGAACGTTCAAGAAGCCAAAAGGCTCGCGGGCGTCAATTTCCCCGCGCCGAGGCTGGGCGTCAGCCTTGTCGCTGCCTTGTGCTGTGCTGCTTGGTAAGACGGTGGCGACCAGACCGATTTTGTCAGCTCATTGATACTCTCAGAGACGACACTCCACGCAGCATGTGCTCCTCGTGACCTCAATCCCATAGCAACACCGCCTTGACCGTCTTGCCGCTATGTATGTCATGTGCTGCCTTTTCAATGTCTTTGGCAGAGTATGTCGTGATGAGTTGATGGTAGGGGAACTTGTCCTGCTCATTCGCTTCCAACAATTTTGGCAGGAATTCCTGAGGATGGCAGTCGCCCTGGCAGCAACCGACATAGCTGCATCCTGCATTGACCATTTCAAAGATGTTGGCCGAGGCTTCAGCCGAGAGCTAAGGCGAGCACGAGCGAGTCAGCAGCGTTGTGCTCAGCGACGGGTGAGGAAACTTACGTCGCCGACACCGACGCTGACAACCTTTCCCTTGCGCGCAGCACTATGGATCAGCTCCTTGATAATCTCTGGCCTCCCTGTGGTCTCGATTGCCCCGTCGACACCTCGCCCGTCGGTTATGTCCATGAGAACCTTCATCAGCTCAGGCCGAACTTTCGAATTGACGCCGTGAGTCGCACCAAAGGATCGGGCCAACTCCAGACGCGCAGGTACTATATCGACAGCAATAATCTTCTTCGGCGGCTTGTCAAGTGTCTTTAGTGCCATTATTGCCGATAACCCCACGGCCCCGGCGCCCACGACGACGACGGACTCGTCCGAGCTCGGACTGACAACGTTTAGCATGGCTAAGAGGTGAGCACACGTTCCAGCTGCTCTCCGAAGATGTGAGAAATCTCACCTCCAGCCCCCGTCATCACTCCACATCCCAGGGGCGCCAGCCTCTCGAACGGGATTCCCTTGTCGACCTTTACCAAGCCGTTCTGCGAGACCAGGATGTGTCTCGCAAAACTGCTCTGTCCAAAGAAGTGACTCGTGATTCGTTTGCCATCCTTTGGGTTGGAAAACACTTTTGACCCGTCGAGCCTCCCGATACCGAAATTGTACTGGAACCAGAAATCGCAGTACGATGACTGCTTGCGTTCACAGTACTTGCATTCTCCACAGCAGGAAAAGACGACGACGACGTGGTCTCCCGGCGTCACTCTGGAGACGTCCGCGCCAGTGCGTTCAACAACGCCGGCACCTTCGTGACCAAGGACGCCGGGGAACAAATCCGGCATAGAAGCCTCCTTTGCGAAGTTCAGATCCGTATGACACACGCCTGTAGCTTTGATCCGTACTAGTGCTTCATCCGGTCGCAGCTCGTCATTGAGCTCGACTTGCTGATATTGAAATGGTGCTCCGGGGGTGGACACCACAATCGCGTCAGTAATCATCTTGGACACCGTCGCACAGAGGGGAGTTCGATAGAATTGTCTGTGGTCATGCGAGACGGTATTCCACCAACGAGAGACCTAGCTTCCGCGGGCGACTTCGAAGGACTCCCGAACCAAACCCCTATCTGGAAAACTGATCGACCAGGAAAGCGAGAATTTGGTGTCGTACCATGCGTTGTTCCGATCTGCTCTGAGGTCAAGAAGAGGGGGAAGAGGAAGTCGGCAGACGCTCATGCCGCAGACAAGCGAGGGGAACATTCAATACTCCACAAGGTCGACATCACCACCTCCCAGTGCCTGGGCGCCGTTACCTCTGTCCATGCCTACTTATGTCAGAAGCTCGCGCCACATTGCACGACAAACGCTTGAGCTTTGATGGATCGTGCCCATCTTAGAATACACAAAGAGCCGATCGAGTCGGGACAAGCTGATATGGGAGAAGCTACGAGTAACCAGACAGATCCCGGACCTTGACTTAAACAGCTGTATGATGGTATGCCCTGGACTGGGTGAAGACAGTCGCTCCAAAAGGACGCAGGGGACGTGGCTAGAGTCAAGAACCCGAGTTGTGGATGGATGCTATGAGCGATACTCATATTTCCGACCATATGAATCCGTTTGACGCTCGGCGTCAACTGCGATGCTTCTGTGGCGCGTGTCCGCTGAGCCATCTGCGGTCCAGTACGGAGCAGATTAGGTACCGAGTGAAATCATTCCGAATGAACTTAATTACCTGGGTATTGCTTGCCTGTCAATGAACCTGATTAGTGCTTGCCTGTTGACTGACCAATCTGTGAGAGACAACTGACCATCTCAAGAAGCCAACGACTTCCCTGCTATCTCACACGGCCTTGCGGCAAGCCTGATCCCGGAGTACCCTATCCCACCGACTGTATTCCGCACCCGTGCCTAAATGACACCCGTACTGTACAATACATTAGACCCTGCAGACAGACTCGACAAGGCCACCGCAGGAGCCAAGTCCAGGCGTCCTATTTGTAAGCCTGCATTGGACTCTGGGCTCTGGGCACTTGCACGCTGGGCACACCGTTCGTGACACTCCTCTATCGCCAGCACCAAGAGTATTTAAACGAGTTAGCCAAGATCAGGCGTGCCAGCCACATATATGTATCTCTAGGGTCAACGGCACTCGAACTGTGCATCTATGCTCAACCCAGGCGAATATATGCATACCCCTACTCTCGCGGTCACGTACTTGGCTACCTACTTAATGTCTTCGATACGACAAGTTACGAGAGCGAATACACGGGTACATACCTACTGATTAACGCCTCCCTTGCCGATCGACACTTCAGCTTCATCCACGTACTGTAGCATTCAACGGCTCTCGACGTGACGGGGCCCTAGAACGACAATACAAAACATATATAGTACCTAGGTACAGTAATTACCTCCCGCCACAATGTCGACACTACTACTACCCCACGAATACACATTCATCCACGTCAACCCGTCTCGGTCGCACTCGCGGTCCAAGGCATCCAGGCTCGCGCTCCGTCTGCAAAGAAGCGAGGCGCAATCGCAAGCCGCATATACGGCATATCGTGCCCGTCAGGTCAGGAAAGCAGCGGCACAGCTGAGAAGACCGCGAGAGAATACCGTCTCGGCGGAAATTTCGTCCAAATCTGGACAAAGAACGGGACATGAATGCGTTGATGGAGATTCGGACCACCAATGGTCAACAGACAAGCCAATACCTACGCAGTCAGCGACTGCCCCTTCTACTAAAACAGCGCCGCCCGATGGAGCCCTGGCACTCGACGTCCTCCGGACAACATCGCAGTGTAGAGTCTTGACGCCTCTCGACCTGCAATACGAGTGGTTTCGAGGCCTCCGGAGGGATCCCTTCCTATGTACTCCTGCCAGCGAGCCCGAGGATGGAGCACTGATTGATTTCTTCGCACATGACATCGGCCCGATAAACGAGTCGGTCGCATGGATCTTCAACGTCACCAACATGGCGGCAGGGATGCTGGAGATGATGGCTCAAGACGGGTTTTACGACGTCATGCTCTGTGTGTTGCAGTCGATGAGGGACTCACTGGCTTCAACACGCTTGTCACCTTCCGTGGCCGTGCTTCGCCGCAAAGGCCGGGCGATTGCAAATATCCGGGCAGCAATGGCCAGGGTACAGTGCGAAGAAGCGGATTCCGAGGACGCGATCACCGACCCAGTCTTGTGTGCCATTCTTCTGCTTGCTGTTCTGGAAGGCCGGTTCCAGGCGACGAGTGTCAGCAATGTGCACAAGAAAACGATGTCAGCCATAACGTCTCAGAGAGGCGGGCTTGGGAGCTTCGAGGGCGAAAGCGTGTTCAAGGCCAGTGCCATGCAATTCGACACCATCTGGATGTGGGAGACTGGCACGACGATGTTCCCTGGGCTGCGACGATCCCATGACCCGGTGTATCCCTCCGACCCGTCGTCGATGCACATGATCCAGAGTTTGCCGATTGGGTTCCGCGACTTGTTCCTCCAGAGAGCACTTTCCTATGACATCCTGCCGGTCCTCACACGCGCTACCCATTTCAGCCGGCTTAGCGCCCGTGAACGTGCTGAACTTCTTCGTGAGGCGCGGAAGCAGAAGAAGGCATTCAACGATTTCTGCGAGGCGTGTCCTTGTCTAGGCCTATGTGACGACAAATACCATCCGCTGGAGAGATTACTGACTCTGTCGATAATGGGCTATATCTATGGTGCTTTCGCGCCTAGAGCCTTTCCGACAAGTCCCGGTGGACCAACCCCAGATCTGACGAAGAGACTGATGTCTTATCAGCCAACCACTATGGCTGACGAAGCATGCTCGCAGTGGATGTGGATTTTGGCAATCAACTTGTCGTGGACAGGGAGCCCAGTTTGCCCCGACAAGCTCCTTTCGATGCTCCAGTTGCAGCTTCGCTATCCAGAATTCCGGTCTGTGGAGAGAATTTTGGAACTTGGCTCGAAGTTCCTCTGGACACAAGAAATGACAAAATCGATTCGGTCCTACTGGCAGGATGTCACAATTTAACGCCATGGTCTCCAAGATATTGCAAAAGGTGCAGTCCAGTAAATCTGCCGTCGAAGACTGGTTGGAGGTGGTCGAACAATGCTAGTTCGTGTTCCTTTGGGATACCACTCGAGTCCGCCGTGAGCGGTGCATCGGCATCGAGCTGCTGTCCTCGATGTTCGCCTGATTCTTTCGTCAAAGGCCCGAGGGGATGCGGTTTTACGAGGACCTTCCGGGCCCGCTGGGCTAAGACGGCCGATTCCTCCAGAAGTGCGGAAACCATTTCGCTCGACAGGCGCGGCTCTTTTCCCCCATCCTTCACTTGTTCTGCTCGAAGTCCGAGAATTTCCGAAAGATTGAATTGAGTTTGAGCAAGGCCGGCTTCTGTGCAGATTCCAGGGCGACTCTGGTCAATCTCAATGACCTTGCGCATGTATTGCCTGTGAGCATATGTTAGTTCTCCTTCAGCAGTGTCAAGAAGTTGGAAGCTCACTCTGCCTCGTTCAACTGACCCAGCCACCTATGCGCCGCGCCAACTGCATAATAGCTTTGAAAGGTCAATAGACCGAATTTGCCATGCAGTTTTAGCCTGGCTTCCAAAACCTCCTTGTGCAGATTCAGAGCACGCTGCCTGTCACCACTTTGCAGCACCAGACAGGCAAGGTCGAATCGCCACCGATTGGTGGCAGCTGACTGTCCGGTAGCCACCTGCACCCAATGCAATCCCTGCTCAGCCATGGGAACTGCTTGTTCGAATTTTCCCTCGTACATAAGACAATATGCCTTGTGGTGGTGGTATTTTGCGTACTCGTACGGGATTTCTTCCGGAGGACCCCACTCGTGATATTTCTCGAGGCAGTTATCGAAGATTGGGGCTGCTTCTTTGTAATTGTTGTATTGCAACAGGACACAACCATAGTCGGACCATGCATTGCCAAGGAGGATGTCGTCGTTCTTCGTGTAGGTTGCTGGATCGCATTCCTCCCGGTGTCGAACTCGAATCGTGATCACTTTCGTGATTCGATCTCTGCACTCGGCGAGATTCGCTATCCCCGAGTCTTGCAAAAGCAACGACACAACAACATGTATGTTGGCCCGCAGGTGATCTTCCTGAAAGTCGCCTTGGTCGAGGATGGCTTCGGCAGATCGGAGGAGCTCCAAACCCTCCACAGTCAAGCATCTCTCCCACAGATCGATGCCGGCGTCAGAAATCAGCTCGGCCATCTTGACAGACGGTGGAATCTCAACAAGTCCGGTCTGCCATAACCGCTTTATGCTCAAGATATGAGGTAAATATCTTCTGCACGTTGGCCACTTGTGGGGCTCAGGCACTTGGATCGGCGACGGGCGTGGGAAGCGAGCCCGGATCAGCAAGAAAACTCTCTCAAACACTTTCCGGCGCTCCGCAGCATTGTCGGGTTGGTTCAGCTCGTCGAGGATCTTTGCCTGCAGCTTGCGGTGAATGCTCAAGACTTCCTCGCCATCATGAGTTCTTATAGTGATGAGGCGACGTTTAGACAGCTCGGCCGTCATACGGCTCCATCTGCACATTGTTAGATTCGACGCACGGGGTCTGGGTCTGCTTACCTCATTGGTGAGTGTGAATGCAGCATTTCAAGTGAAGGGTCCTCATGCGAGCCCACCAACAACCCCTTTTGAATATTGTCGCTGTCAAAGAACGCCAAGATGTTGAGCAGTTGGCGAGAATCGGTCCGGACCTCCCTCAACCCAATGTTCCACACCATCTCCATGGCGTCGTCAGCATCGGCAGGAGCTTCTTGAGCATTGCGTGACATCTGCCTTTCATTCCACAGCTCAACGAAATACGCCAACGTGCACTCCGAAGCAAGAACAAATCCAGCGATGAGCGAGAGTGCGAGCGGGAGCTTCTCTGCTCGCTTGGCGATATCTCCAGCTAGCTTGTATTCTGGATGTGCCCTCATATCCTCGACAGGCTCCCCACGGTTGGCCGATTTAAGAAGCAGTTCACGACTCTCCTCCAGCTTCAGAGCATGCAAATCAATCGTGGAGGCGCCGGTGGATAGGTGTGAAACATCGAGGTTTTTGTTTCGTGTGGTGATTAACACGCAACCATGAGTATTGGACATGTCTGCCGGCAGGAATCTGCGGAGGTCGAATGCTTCATCCACATTGTCAAAGACAAGGAGCCATCGCTCTGATGTTTGTTCGAGGAACTCCCGTGCCAAGTTCACCAACCTCTCCTCCTCCGCAATGGTTTCGGCATGCGGTATTACCTTCAGCGCAATCTCGCAGAACGAGTCAGCACATATCATGGCTGTCTCCGCTGGAACCCAGAAAATATATGAAAAGCAGCTCTTGAATTTCCATGTGTAGGCTGTAGCGATCGCGGATTTCCCCATACCACCCGGTCCACGGATGATGGTGATATGGCCCTTCTCCTTCATCGTGTCGTCGATCTTTGCCAAGTCATCAATGCGGCCGACAAAGTCGGGATTCCATGGGGGTTGTAACGTGCAGATCGTCCCTTGGCCCGAATGGGCTGAGGCGGTGGGTTCGATACTCCTCCATTGTGCAAGAGGAGTAGTGGCTGCACTCCTCGCTGCTTCCTCGACCTTGAGTTCGCGCACCCTCTGCATGTACGTGTAGGAAGGCCCTCTCGATTTTATTCTTGGGCGGCTAAGTTGAGGCTTTGATGGCGAGCCGCTCGCCGGTTGCAGACCGGGCTGATCATTCCACAGGCGCTGGAACAGGCCTGTCAATGAGTCGTCCTTTTGCGTCTGCTGCAATTGGGACATCTCAGACTGTTCTTCGATGAAACGTACCAGGTCGGAGTATTTGTCGCCTTGGTAGGACGTCAAGACCGGATGTGGTGACTCCGGAACCTCCGTGTCAATAGATATCAGTGCAAATTGCTGTAAGTGGTCCGCCACGTGCTTGAAATGTAGTTCAAAGGCACAGTCGAGACGGCAAAGCGGACATGTTAGTTGATAAGGAGTCTTCGCCGAAGGTTTCATGCTCAAACTTGCAATGGCCGCCATATGTTCGGGTGGGATGTCGTGAATCAACGCGACGTGCTCGCTGAAAAGTGTCTGGTCTCGCCACTCGTGGCCGCACGCCTCGCAGGCCCAAACATTGGGTATGTGATGTGCATAAAGCTCATGCTGTATCCAGTCTTCTTGTGTAGAATAAGTCTTTGCACCTTGTAAGCATTGGTCGGATGTGCACAGATATGGCTCGAGGTCCGCAAAGACATGTGTAGCCCAGTCTGCACTGGTAGCTACATCCATCACCGTGGCCTCCCGCAATTTCTGGGGTGTCTGAGCATGAGGTTGGGCGTGCTCGGAGCTTTCTTCATGCGTGTTCCAGCTCGACGAGGGGGGCACATGCGGCCCAGCGCGGTGTAACGAGGACTCCGAATCGCCGACTAGTATAGGCAATGCGCAATAAGGACATAGGAAGCTTTGGCTGGCATCAAGTGGATTCGGAGGCGGAGGTATTGAGACTGCCGGGAAGAGAGGAGCCTCCTCAAATTCACTGATTGAGGTGGCCGTGTTGGTCACATAACCAGAGTCAGCTTTCGACAGTATTGTGCCGCTGTTCGAAGCAGTGTCGCTCGCACTGGACGTTAGCCGGCTTAGTATTGCTCTGTGATCATTGGCCATGATTGTGGATGGTAGTCGTCCATGCTGATTCGCAAGGCTGCGTTGAGTGCGAGATCCAAGCACTTCAGCGCGATTGGTGACACCAAGCGTGAATCCTGTGCGGCCCTGGCGTCCGTGGTATTTCTCAGTTCTAAGGTGCCGCAAGAAAGACCGGCGCAGCCAGTTTGTGTGTCCAAGTCTCTGCTTGAGCTTCTCGGACGCCCTAGGAAACATGCGGCCCGCAAGTTGCACGTCAACTTTGTCATCGCCGATAAGTACATCGCGAGAATACACATCCGAAGGAAATGGGTCCTTGAGCGCGTCGTTCAAGCCTTTAAGTCGATCGAGGACGGCCGAGATAAGACTTGCTCTCTCTTTGAACCGGTCGTCCGAGATAGGTAGCTGGGAGACAGTTCTGAGGCTGCTCTGGCGATCGAAGTACGATGTCAAGTTGTCCTCAAGGAGTGCCGGGCTGAGCAGAGGTGTTGCAGTAATCCGAAGGTCCTCCAGCACTAGGAGAACATGTATGTCAGTTGAAGCATCTCATTGACATGATCCTACCAATCCTCTCTCGTAGCAGAGCATGACACAGTCGGAACTCTCTCAAAGGTTACGTGCCATTTTGAAGTTTCTGATTGAGGCTCTCAAGTAGCTCAACCAGTAGATCTCGCAGTTCCGAGCTCTTTCGCAGCGCGTGGTCAAGCGAGCAATTTTCTGCGTGATGAAGATCTCCCCAGTGTTTCAGGTTGTTTTGTAGACTCTCCAGAAATTCAGCTCGTGCTTCCCATACAGGCTGATTCGCAGCCATGGCCGAAGCAAGCTGATCGCACGTTTGCCGGCATTCTTCGAAGGCTGCTGCTACTTGTGCATATTGATAGAGAGATCCAAGGTCCTTGCGAGGACCATTGGATTGAGCAACCATCTCTCGCGTCGTGGACGGGTATCATGCCCCAGCCCCTTAGAGCCGGTCATTGAAACCCTCGAGGGCTCGCTGAGGCTCAGCAGCGTGAATTTAGGATCGAGCGATCGTGGTGGAGGGGTCGCTTGGCTGCTCGCTGGGTCACACGGCGGCTCGGATTCCGAGCACGCTTATCGGAACCCATGTAGCCTCCTACCTGCGAGAGTGTTAGCTTTCGCCAATCATGGATGGGGACATCGCCTCGAGTCGAGCCTAGCTTGGCTTGTGGAGGGAGGGGGAGAGCAGAGTCCTAAGCGAGTCGAGACCTGAGAGCCGAGACACTGCAGGCTCAGGCTTGCCTCACGTCTGCTCTTCAGCCGCACCGTGAACTCACTTCGACAAGTCCGCATTCAAAGAGCAACAAATGTAGCGATAGCATCCATAATGTCCGGATTCGAGGTAGTTGGACTGATCCTGGCACTGTATCCTGTGGTTGCAGATGCGGTTGCCTACTACCGGGGGGTACGATCTGGAGACATCATCCACGATCTGGTGGAGGAAGTCCGTGCCGAAAGGGTCATCTTCAGTCACTCGATTCAACATCTTTGCCTCTCCCAGGTATCAGGGACGGATGTGGTGGGCGTCGTCGACCCTCAGTCAGAGATTTTCGCGTTATGGCAGCAGAGCAGCTTCTTGAACAAGCTGCTGGCTTCGCACGCCGCGGAGGCCACCACAGCCATCCTCGAAACCCTGAAGAGCATACATTCTGAGCTACAACAGGTTCATCGAGAGCTAGACAGGATCAACCCTAATGCTGTGAGTCCGTTGCAGAACTTAAGCTTAGAGTGCATTCCGCCGCCCCCAGCCACAGGACTGATTGCAACAGGTCGATTTCAGAACCAGGCTGAGAACGTCTCTTTTCACCCTGAGATCTGGTCAGGAAGCCTCAGCAATGAAGACAAGCTTAAAGAAGATCCACAAGCTCAACAAGAGACTCCGCCGACTCGTCTCCTCCCGCCCACAACACAAGCAAGTTCCAGGTCCCGGGGCGGAGGCGACCCTCTGCTCCAGTTCATGCGCCGGCTTTGCCACAGGTGTCTTCAGAGCAGTAGAAAGTCATTATCGGTGCTCCTGCCAACGAAACCATCCCACGAAACTCCAAGTCCCCCAGTTACCGCTTCGAAGCCAGGACGCTGGCAAGGGCCAAAAGCCGATGCTGCAACTCTTATTTTCCGCGGATGATGACATGTTAGAAAAGCGTAGCACTGGGACGAGGGGCTCAGAATCGACGAGCCAGTCAACCCTGTCAGGGGAGACATCTGTCTCGTCGTTGAGGTCACAAGGAACTGATCTCGAACACTCTCAAGCAGATTATTCACTCTCATCCGTGCAGAGTAACAATTCCCTCACCAGCTCTATGACATTGGTGTATAACCCAAAGTGCTATTGCCTGGCAGTGACAGAATGTGGAAAAGACAGAAACGACGAGATAAGAGACATTTGCGCGTCCATTCGAGCCTTGGGGCAAGTGTCCGATCCGCCCTCCAAGCAGCAAACGCTCGGTGTTCTACAAACGGATAGCGTCAACTATGAGCTTAAGTCTCCAAGACCTATTGGCGATGGGGACGCCAGAGCAGTCCTGTCACTCGATGATCTATTTACCGGAGATCGAAGCAAGCTTGCACGCCGACACCGCATCAGTCTGGCTTTGAGTTTGGCATGGGGAGTAACCACGCTCCACCAGACTCCATGGATCGGTCCGTCGTGGACATGGAGCGACTTCTCGGCCATCATGGATCGACAGCGAGGTCAGTTTGATGAGGGTCTATTCATCACGAAATATTTCCCTTCACAGCAGAATCTGAATATCCCCGAGACCCCCTGTGCAGAAGCGCCCCCTTCCTTGCTCAAAATTGCATTAGGAGAGCCAGTCGTCGCGCGACTCGGCTACGCATTAATCGAGTTGGCCAAGGGCGAGCGTTTTGCGAGCCTCCACGAACCCAGCGCGTCGACGAGCACAGATAAGGACCTCCAGGATCTTTTGACAGCGCGCCATCTTCTGGAAACGGGCGTGGTAAGGGACGAGGAGTGTGAAGCATATAGTGCGGTAGTTCAAGTGTGTCTGTACCAGCAAATCCAGCGAGAGGAAGGACTGGGCATGAAGACGCTGAGGTCACAAGACGCATGGTTCGAGAGGGACTTGACCCGGGCGATTGTGCAGCCACTTTACAATATCTACACGAGGGAATGGGGGAGTCCATCACCGGCCGTCTCAGCATATTAATGCAAAGATAATACCACCTCGAAACAATCAAGCTCAACAGTGCTCAGTTGCAGGCATTTTCTAGGATAATGGAGGGCTGTGCTGGTGAGATTGACGCGACGTCCTACAGTACTAGGTAGACTGTTAACCAGAGGACTTGGCGAAATGAGAATGACGCTTTTATCACAATTAAAGACCGTAATATTGAAAACCCCATCGAAGCGGCTTAAAACACGTATGGTGTCTACCTGAGCAGTGGATGGTCTGAGGTGACTATTCTCATGCCCATGCCTGGAGGTTGAAGAAGACGGAGCTGAGCGTTGTGGGCGGCGGTACTTGAGCGGGGCCGGTGACGCCAATGTGAATCTGATTCCCCAAAGCTGCCAGTGATAAAACCCTTTCAACCCTTTCAACCCCTCCTCAGTTAACGGACGTGGCGCGAAAGGTGTATTTGGTTTCCTTTTACTAACATCCCAGAGAAATGCCTGGTGAGTTTGGCGCGTGTGCTTTCATTCCGCAGGCTGGTCATGCTGACAATTTCCAGGCCAGACACTGTCCCGAAGCAGTTCGACCTCAAGTAAATCTGAGGGAACCATCGACCTGGAACCTGAGACCTCAGCCCTTCCTTCTTGGGTCAACAAAGTATTGCTTGCCGCTGAAGAGGATCAACGCAATCAGCCGTGGAAAGCTACTTTTGGAGAAAGCATCGGCCTGCGATTTGATTCAGAAGAAGATCTTGTGAGGATTGATCGAAGCTTTGGTGGACTCGACGATCCCTCCTGTCCGTTCAACACTCAAGGGAGCAGCCTCGCTGCTTGACCCGCTTCACCCCAAGCTCGGCCAGTCCTGCGATGGTCTGCTGCGTCTGAGTCCTCTACACTGGAACATTTGCTCGCTGCATCCATCCCATTTGCTCCTCGCAGCTACCTTTTTCAATGTCGCCTCCAACTGGTCCCTTATGCATCAGCCTGAAGTTCCTGAAATGGCTACCTTTGTATGAAAAGGAGAAACCGTTTCAGATATTCATCAATATCCCCGAAGATGCGACCGACAAGCGTACCACCAATCTCGCGTTCGAGAATGTCAAAGTCACGATAGAGGACGTCCGAAGTTTTCCACGGAACCACTTCCTGTTGGACAAACACGGCTTTACCTATCATTCGCACTATCTCCAGCTCGATCATATCACTAATAGGGAATCCGTGGAACAGCGGTACCTTCCCGAAATGGAGACTCTCCTCAGATCAACCTTGGAGAGTGTCGATCGTGTCTTTTTCTTTGACTGGAGGGTCTGACTCTTGTGTCACTGAAATGCTTCCCTACTGATAATCCGCAGTTGCGGAAGAACGCCCCAGAGACCGAAGGAGCCCTCATAGACCTCAACGACCTGACGACATGGCTAAGACCTGCCCTACATTTGCATGTTGGTACGTGAACTGCCGTCCCCCGAGGCCCCCTGGTACTGATGTACCGCGAGCAGACCAAAGTCCGATCGCAGTGATTCGGCGAGTCCTTATGCAGCTTCCGCAAGATGCTGAATACCTGCTGCAAGGTCGCATCCGCGTCATCAAGTAAGAGCAGGAAATGCCCGTTGCTGCGGATTGCGGATTGACATTCCCAATCTAGCTTGTGGCGACCGATTGTTGACACCGTCCGAGACTACCCCCTAGCTATTTGTGATGGCAGCACAGTCTCGCCATCCGATCTCATAGAGGCCGATCACGTAAGACGCCACTATACGGGTTCGACCATGTACTTGAAACACAACGAGCGCCAAAAGTTTTACTTCATGAGCCGCCAAACGAGAAACGAAGTTTTGATATTCAAGAACTTTGATTCTGCTGAGACACCCGCAGCGACTTGTATGAATTGCTCTTTACTATCTACGAAGCGCACGAAGATCTCTAACAATTATACAGGCGCACCACATGCATCTTTCCTGGATCCTAGCATTCCTGAGACCTTCGCACCCAGACAGAGCATCGAAGTAAGAGCCTTGGTGTTCACCCATCCCGAGAGGAACAGGCCCTCCCCTGCTGAGTTTATTAGACGTTCGCACACATAACGCTGAGCACCTGCAACAATAAGAAATATAAAGAGACTCTCCGTATGGCTGGAACGGGAGGCCTCCATTGCGATTGCAGACAGTGTAATTGCTTTCAGTTGTCACCGGAGCTAACAGCGACACCGACGATCTAGTCGACGCTTATCTTCTTGACGCGTTCGGTTTCTGACATCTTCTGCAAACACGCCATCAGTGAAAGAACATCAAAAGTGGTGACCCGAGATTCATCGCTCTTGTTAATGGTCAGCTTATCAGCTCTCGCGTCGCCCGGACGAGTCGTTTCCATGAATGGTGTCGCAACCTCCTTGATGTACCAGCCCGTCCGGGGCGCATGACTCACCCATATCAGAGGAGCGAGGCACGCGCACGAGGCGACGTTAATTTCTTCCTGGTGGGGAAGCAATAACAATCAGACAATCAAACACTCGGGCGTATTTCGGCTCATCATTAGGCACCCGTTTTTCCCGAGCTTGACTTGATCCTCTTTCGCGTCTTCCACCGCCGTCACTGATGAGACTTTGACGTCCAGGTCGTGAACACACACGCGGCATACAATTAGGCACTGGTCAAGTTGCTGAGCTCTATGCCTGTAGGTGGTGATCGGAAAGCTCAGATTCGGGGACCAATTTTTCGGGGTAAGACACAACGACGACAATACCGAACATGAATATATCACCTAGAAGATGCTCCCGTGTGGCTTAATTCGGATCTCCATTCTTCTACTCGTCGCCGCTGAGGCGCGGAGATTGTTCTCCCACTCAGATGCAGCACGTGGACTGGCACGCCTGGCCAAACCGTTCGAGCACAATCAACGTGCTTTGCAGCAGGAATTTGTATGCTCTTTCCACTGAGCCGGGATACAGGCTTATTCGAGGACACAGATACTCAAAGACCTTTTCTTCCATGAGTTCTCTAACTCCGCTGAAACACCTCAACTGTACCGCTCCTCAGCAAGAAATGCGCCAAGCGTACATGCACGACCGGATGATGTATACTCTGCTTTGTCGATTCGGGTGCGACCCTTGGAAATCAGCCAGTCGAGGCCTTCAGCAGCACCAATGTCGCTGGAGCGTCTGAATATGCATGCGCATGGTAATATCCAGGCCGCACATGCCTCGGATGTATGTCAGACGGTCATAGTCCCAGGACCGGACCTTAGGGACAAAGCTACAGTCGTCAACCTGGCCAAAATGTGCAGCGATGCCTATGTCTTTGCACCTTCCCAACCTGACTGGCTCAACACCACGCTTGGATTCAATCATTCTTATTCCTTCGGCTGGAAAGGCGACGGTCTCCGAGGGCACGTTTTCACGGACAAGCCGAACGAGACTGTCATCGTCGCATTCAAAGGGACCACTGTCGGTAAGGCCTATGCGGAGCTTTTCCACGAAAATTACTGACGCAACTAGACCCAACTCATCACTGGAGGAGCAAAGACCGCCTTAATGACAACCTCCTGTTCAGCTGCTGCTGTGCTACCCAACGACCAGATCCATTCTGGTATGGTCGTGTCTGTGACTGCAGGACCGACTACTTCCAGTGTAACTCGACATGCCTAACTCAGGAGCTCACGCAGGAAGACCGATATTATTCGACAGCGCTTGCCATAATGCGCAACGTTTCAACATGGTATCCGAATGCCTCCATCTGGACGGTCGGCCATTCCCTTGGCGGAGCTGTGGCTAGCCTGATGGGTCTGACGTTTAACATACCCTCCGTATCCATCGAGGCTCCGCCACAAAAGCTGGCCGCTGAGAGACTTGACCTCGCCCTCCCTCCACGTTCCGCAGATTATCACATCGGAAATACTGCCGACCCGGTGTTCATGGGTGCATGCAATGGCTATTTCTCATCGTGTTCAGTTGCCGGCTTCGTCTTCGAAAGCCAATGCCATACTGGAAAGCGCTGTGTCTACGACACAGTTCAAGACAAGGGCTGGCGGCTCAGTATCGCAAACCATCGCATCAATGTCGTGATCCCTCAGGTACTGGAAGCCTACAACAGCACCCCTGTGTGTGAAGCCGACGATGAGTGTGTCGACTGTTTTAACTGGAAATTCAACGATGAATCACAATGATTGACGGGGAAGAACGATCCTCGATGTTTCCATGGGTTCCAACGAGGTCCACACCTGCTCCCCTTGTCTTCCAGACTCCGGCGTTACTGTACATCCCCATCTCCACCTTGACCAGCGCGACCAGCATATTGATGCCCTCCGAAGATATCTCGTTCCCTGTATCCCACCCAATGCCGTTCTTCATTGGACGGGACACACGAGTCGGATGTCAGCATCCTTACTGACGAGATGTCGATTCATCACAAATAGCCAACATGTCCAAGGCTGACCTCGACATGCAAAGTTATATTGAAACTGTCGGTAGCAACTGCCCACTGGCCGAGAGAGCGATCGAGCCGCTGCCTTAAAAGGCATTGATGAAGCGGCCACCACCATGCGCCTTCCGAAGCAGTGGCAAGAAGTGCCGAGTCGTGAATGCCAGCGACGTGACTAAGAGGTCAGCTTCTTCCTCGAGATCGATGAATGTCCCACACTTGGATTTAGTCCGGAGATCGGTACGACGAACGTGAGATTGGGTACGCCAGCCTTGTTACAGTAACCCTGGCTTGTGACATCACACCAGCGGTTGATTTGGCAAAACAAGAAGAGGATGTGCCTGCGACGATGATGATTCCGACATGTCGAACAGCTAATTGCCGTCTGCACTTGACCGAATCCTGTCTGGTGCCATACCATCAGTACCGGTGTCGAAGCCTGATCAACCTTTTGCGTTACCTCGTCTACCGGCCTCCTCTTATACTATTTCAAGAGTGTGACACGCTTCCCAGACTGGCATCTGGTTAGGGCTCATAGGGTGTCCATCGCCTTGCGTAAATCACCACTGCTGGTTGATTTTGGGAAAATAAGTACATGATGAAGGGCCAGAGGTAGTCCACCGGACCCCTGCCAGTCAACCAGGCAACCATGCCGCAGAAATATAAATACGTGCAACTCCTCCAAAAAGTCACAACTTCCTTCCTTCTTTCCATCTCGTCCTTGTCATCGACGTCATGGCACTGCCTCAATCTTCCTCTTCCCAGGCGCGCTGCCCGCATAGCATCTTGACGTCCTTGCCTTCAGAGTATGCCCAATCATCAGGACATCAGCCCTATAACGAGCAGCGTCTTCTAACTGCCATAACTGGGAAGCGAAAGCACACCGCCAATGCTGCGTCCCAATACCATCTCACGAAATTTCCCGCACCCCTCGTCTTGCCTGGTGACGCCATTGACCTAGATCCAAAATACCCTTCTCAGAGTTTTCGATCGTGGGTGAACGACGGCACGAGGAACCACGTTACCGCCCGTCGCCACATCATCTACGTCGCTGCTCCACCGGAGATCGACCGAAGCGTGAATTTCATGGATGATTGGCGTCGTCCCAAGACTGACTCGTCAATGGTTGTAGGCTGCCACGCTGGCTGATCCGTTTGCCCTCGCTAACTCGGGCAGGAGAAGCAGGCAGTCGTTGTTGCGGATGTTGAAGTTCGGAGCCTCATCTCCTACCTGCAAGCCTTCTACCACGGCCTTGAGGTCAAGCTACTCCCTGTGCCTCTGAGCTTCACCTCCTGGGACGAGCCAGCCCAGTCCAAATCAGGGTCATCTAATCGCAAAACGCGCGATGTCCAGGCTGTGGCGCTGTCCACCGGTACCGAAGCCACCCGTATCCGAGTTCGCAGTACGCCACCCTCAAATGCTGGTCCAGCAGATGCCTTCCCATACAGCCATCAGTTAAACCTGAATGACATGACGGACGTGGCACTCCGCGTGCTCCCGTCGGACGCTTATGCGCTGCTCTTCGTTATAACGCATGATATGTACGAGTCTGAAGAAGATGATTTCTGCTGTGGCCGAGCATGGGGCGCCAGTCGGGTAGCCATTGCTTCAAGTGCCCGATATCAGCCCTGCCTTGATGATGTCCATGGCGTTGATCGAGAACACATCTGGCCCGCTAGTCATTGCAAAGCCTTTGTCGACAAGCTGAATCTGGGAAGTAGCCAGAATGACAACCCACGAAACAGGCGCAACGGTGCCAAGAAGCGCACAATCGCCCACCGACCAATTTCCGGAGCTCAGTCGTTGATTACACCTCAACCCTTGGAAAAAGCGGTGGATGTGTACCGAACCTCATCCCCTGCAGTCGGTCTGGCCGTCGTCGACACCAGCAGCTTGCTCCTGTTCCGTCTCTGCCGCACGGCGTCACATGAACTGGGCCACTGTTTCGGACTCGACCACTGCATGTACCTGGCTTGCATGATGCAAGGTACCGCGTCAGTAGCGGAAGATATGAGGCAGCCGCCGTATCTGTGTCCCGTGTGTGAAGCCAAGGTCGCCTGGGCGGTTGTTCGATGCGGCACTTCGGAGGTCACGGCCGAGCCTAAAACCGAAGGCCGAGCCAGGAGAGCCGCAGGTCAGACGGGGGTGGAGCAATCAGAGGCGCAGACGGAGGACGACAAGCGAGAGATACAACTGGCGAAATGGAAGAAGGATAGGTTGGAGGCAATAACCACGTTTTGCGAGCACCTCAATGGCGCTTTTGCTCCTCTGCGGGCGTGGTCAACAGCTCTTCTCTAGGCAACGCACTGATCATGTTGCAGCGGAAATGCAGAGGTGGATCTTTCTTCTGCGTCGATACGATGGATAGTTCACGGGTGGAGGGTCATCCCGTCAGTGCCGTTCAGGCGGGCACGGTCTTCAGCCGTGGTAGGCAAGGCAGCAGTCAAATTGATTCGGGAACGAGAATCTTTACCAAAGGTTGGGGCGAGGATATCCCATTCCGCACTTTCCCCAGGATTACGTAGTGGTGGTGGTAGGACCGGACCTGCTACTGTGTGCATAGTATGTACGGTACGGAGTATACTGTGGGAGATGTAGGCAGCACTCATATTCGCTCAGTCTGCGCCACTACAGCCCCGCTACAGCCACAGCTACAGCCACAGCCATGACATCAGCCGTCACGTGGATCCGCCTCGCTCAGCCCGGAACCTCGTGCTCCGGACTTCCTCCGTGCTCCGTACTCGTACTGGTCAGCCCAAAGGTTGGTGCCTGAGCGAACCACACCTGTTTGAGGTCTGCATGACCGGATTTGTGGACTTGCAGTGGTTCTTCTGAACGAGCCAGACCAGGCACGACCAGGAACATCTCATCCTGCATATTCGATCTAGCCGCATCGAGTCCATCCTGCGGAGTGAGCAAGGTCTCGACCCGGGAAAAAGGCCGTGCGCCTAATGAACGATGATTGAATGCATGAATGAATCAACAGTTTGCAGCACATGTTGTGTCTTTATTGTTGGCGTTGTGACGGGCTTCCATCTTCTTGCCAGGTTGTTGTTGTCGTTGTCTTTATTGTTGTTTTGAATTCATTTCCATCTCTCTATACCTACTCTTTTGTTCGACATTGTCTTCTTAACCACGGATGTTTTAAACGACGTTATTACTGCAGCATCTCCAGCCGGATCATCACTACATTGTACATCACATCACACCACATCATCGGACTGTCCGGCTTGTTTCATGAACCTTTGATCCCGCAACACGAGGACGGAGTCATAGCCAGATCAAGGTCCCGAAGTCTGGACTTTTTCTGGAATTGACCTGAAATCTATCTGTACCCGTACATATCCATACACCTATACGCACAAGCGGAAGCACACACTTCACACAAGCCGTCAATCGCAAAATGCCGCTCCCAGAGAAATCAACCCTCCGTCGCAACGAAATAGACACCTCCATCCCAACCGACTCACCACCATCCTACGAAAACACAATCCTCCCAGCCTCAAACCCATGGACAGACACTCCGACTCTATCAGCACAGACTCCCACCCACCAATTACAACATCAACATCAACCACAAATACAGCCACAACCACCACCACCACCGGCACCTGTCCCGTCTCAGAACCCCCTCTCCGCCCTTTCCCGCCTAACCACCGTCCCGTTCTCCAAATACCGCGTCCGAGACTCCAAGCTCTCCGACGACCAAACCGCGCTGACGACAACAAGCCCCGACCTCACGTCCAGCAGCTCAAACGCCACGACCGCGGCGCAAGTCCAACGGAACGTCACAAAGTTCATCGCCGAGCAGGCTTCCCTCCCGCCCAAACCCATCATGATCATCCGGGGCACGCATCTCGGAAGCGGGACGCAGCACGGGTCCACGATCGTGGATTTCGAGCTCAAATTCAACCTGACGAGTTTGTTGGACTTGGGTGTGGATGTGAATGGGAGGGTGAACTCAAATCCCTGTTCGAATGGCATTGACACCGGTCCTGTCGATGAGCACGCCAACACCCACACCAGCAGCACAGGTGGCCGAAGTGTTGTAGCGCCCTGGAAATTGAAAGTCAAGCGCTACCAACCCGGCTCGACCAACGGATCACCCAAGCAACTGAGCAGAGAAGAAAAGGACATGGCCCCCTTGGAGCTATGGGCCAAGAAGTTCTGCGAAGACAAAGCAGAGAACCGCAGGTGAGTGAGTCGCTGTTTTAGCGGCGGCGGCGGTGGTGTTGCTGCCCGAGATTGTCACCACTTGTCTCCATCTCCCATCTCGTACCGATATCTAACTCGGTTCTGTCCAATCCACAGCTTCACCCTCACCCGCCAGTGTCCTTCCCTCCCTACCGCCCTTTTAGAAGGCCACGCCCGCAACCTCCTAGCCAGCACGAAATACCGGGGCACCCTCACCGTGACGTTTCCCACGCACCACTCCAGCGTGACCATCCTGCGCAAGTCCTCAAACTGGTTCACCAACATGCTCCGTCTGTACCCGACGAAGAAGTACGAGGTCGTCAGCGTGGAGTGGCCCATCATCGGCGTGACCAACGCGAACGCGGGTCTCCCCAGTAAAGGCAAAGCTAGTGGCGCCCGCCCCGCCCTCCACCGGAACGATACCAACGTGTCCGTGATTTCGGAGTCGGAATTACACCCGGAAGCGGAACCCCCGTCGTCGTCGGCGTCGAGCACGTCCTCTCACAATCAGAGTGGCTCGGGCTCGACGACGGACACGGCGGCGGCGGTGGCGCAGGCGTGGTGGCGCGAATGGCATGTTGCCGTGCGGAATGCCGTCTTGTCCGGCCGCAAGGGCTGGGTCACCGTGGAAGATTGGATCGAGGCCAAGACCGGAGTGCGCGAGAAGGAGCGCTTGAAGGAGTGGGGCGTCGATTATGAGTGAGCCTGAAAGACGGCCCTACTTGCCTGCCTGTCGGGAGGAACGATGGGTTTGCTCATTGACCAACTCACGCACTCACTCACTCATTCGACATTTCCTGGGAAGATTTCTATACTCTGTACGATGGTGAGATCAATAGCGGCCAGAAAGATGGCGCGTCGTCATGTGATGATGTGACGCGATGTGGTATTATACGATGTGATATGGTATGATATGGTATGATATGATGATACCTATCTTACAGTCCATTCCATTCCACCTCCATGTCGTCGTCGATGGTAGGTGCCGCCATGGTATACCGTGTCATACTACGCTATAGTATACTATTGTATGCCATGGTAGAGTAGAGTATAGTATAGTATAGTATAATATGGAATGCTACGCTATAGTAATGCTATACTATGCTATGGTATGGTATGCTACGCTATCCCTTAGTGCCGGTATTCCACACCATGAGATCCACCTGTCGGCGTCACGGCCACGAACATATCGATGCAAATGCAGATGCGGGAATACAGGACAACATACTACTGTACATCCATATAGTCCACCCGATGGCATGGTCATATGGGAATCTAGCATTGTTCATAGCGATGGAGACCAAGTCGCTCGCTAGCGCTTTCGGGTCGTCAAAAGTACTGTACTGTAAATATGAGGTTGTTTGCATGCATGGTTCGGACTTCCCAAGGATGGATGTATTGTACTTGTACGCTTCAAGGACCCTGCTGTCTATCACCCTGCTGCCTACCACCCTGCTGTCTACCACCCTGCTGTCTACGGACCCTATTCAGTTCCACTCCAAGATCCGTCATGGCGAGGCTACTTAACCATCTACTCAATGTCATCATTGTCGTCATCATCCTCCCACTCGTCGTCGTGATCCCCTTCACCTTTCTCTCCTGCGGCTAGACTGAAATCAAGGTTGACATCATGGGCGTCCTTGACTCGCTTCCAGAACTCATACTTGGGCCCGGCAACCCCGTCTCGCTTGTTCTTAGCAAGCAAGTGTTGAATCCATGCTTCCGCAGACACTCTATGCCGCTTAAAGTCCTCGTCCTTGGTGGCATCGAACCCCTTGATGGCCGCCAGCAAACCGCCGTTCTTCTTCGCCAAGGCCTTAAACTCCGCCGCAGTCATGTCGTTGATGACGCCGTGTCCAAGTTGCACTGGGAGCCGGATCACATTGTGAGCTTGCTCGGTCAGGAATGGGGACATGATGAACTGGTTATTTCCGCGGTCCATCATAACCCAGGTTGTGTCAAATCGAGGTTGCAGCTCCAGAGGGTCGTCATCGAGGCGCGTCGAAGGGCTGGCAGCGCTCTGTGTGTAGGCGTGCATGATGGCCGTTGCTTCCGACTGGGCAATTCCCATCTCGGTCAGTTTCTCGACGTTCCACGGGAGGTTGTCACCATATTGCCTCTTGAGCCACCGCCTCTTGTTCTCCGCCTCGACGGGATCAAGAAGACCTTCGCACTGGGAGAAAACAACCTTGTTTTGGCCTAGAAAGACCAGTTTCTTCGCTTCGGCTCCTTGCATGAAAATGAGTTGCTTTCCTTCTTTGAGGGCAGCTTCTCGGGCAAACAGAGGACTAAACAGCACAACTCTCAACCAGGCCGCGTCCCGAAGACTGTCAGGGTCTGAATTGCCTTGATCGGCCTTGAAATCGTGCGCGGATTTGGTCCCAGAGCTGCAGAATTCCGCTGAGCACATAGGACACTTCAGCTTGTGGCCGTTCGCCGTGTCAAGCTCTTGATGAATCCAGTCCATGAGACAGGCTGCCGGCCAAGAGTTCCTACACTTGGACCCGTTGTCCGCCCCGACGTGGGTGAGGATATCGACGTCGGACTCGATGGGTCCGCGACACCAAAGGCAGGTGTCATGGTTCCTGGGACCACGACCGCGAGCTAGAACCCAGCCGTTCTGGAGCAGCGCAAGGACACGGGTCAAGGTGTTTCGGTCCGTGAAGTCAAGGTCAGGGTGGAGTGCTCCAGGATCTGGTTCCGTAATCATCGTCCATCTCGTTTGCTTCTTGACTCGGGTCGACGGGACGATTAATTCCTCAGGCTCGGAAGAGGTCTCCATGTCGCTTTGAGGCTGTGTCTTGGGCTGCTCGTCAGATGACAACGTGTTTGGCGTGGCGGCATCAGAGGATGACGGAGAAGATTTGTCTTGCGGGCCTGGATGATCATCACCGCCGGTCACGGCCCCTGGCTTGTCGACGTTGGCTTTTGGCATGGCTGGTTTCTCAGCAGACACCGTCTCAGGCGCGTTGGTGTCGGGAGACGGGTCTGTTTTCTGGTGGCTGCCACTGCCGCCTAAGGCTGCAGATGTCGGCGATAAGTCTGGGTCGTCCTTGTCTTTCGCCATGTTGAAAGACGACGACGACCTGAATCTGAAGGCAAAACAGAGCAGGTGTTTGAGGTTCATGTGTTCACCGTGCCGCGGCAGCTACGGCCTCAGAAGGTGCAGTCCAGGTGGTATGGAGGAGCGACGTGCCAGAAACCGCGATGGTAGTACAAACGAGGCGCACGTCAAGCCAGCCACAAATACAACGACAACTATTGGCCGCACGGTTGACAGGCTACCTTACTTTTCTTTGTCATTAATTCTTAATCGGCTGGCTTGTGAGGAACAAGTGGTGGGAACAGATGCAGCAGGCAACCATCGCCCCACGCGCGCAACCATGGGTCTGGGACGCGAACCATCACAGCAAAAGACAAGGTAGATTCTGCTGGGTATCATGTCGGCTATAGCAGAAGTAGCGCCCTCTTTCGAAATTAGTGGCATGCGCCTGACCGTTCCCAACAAACCGGTGGAAAGCAATGTGTTCATATTAATTGCTCCCAAGGCTGACGCATGCCCCAAGACGGAGTATCGACTCCAGTTTAGATGCAGCCAATATAACCCAACCAGCACTATATCAGCCCTGTTCTTCGCCTGACCTGGAGACATGCCAGCCGAGAAAATGTAGTGAAAAGGTTGAGGATGTGCTCAGGACCATTTATCCAGCCGAATGCATCGACCATGCTGTTGGAAATGCTGTGAGAAGTGGACACCAAGGTGATGAGCTGGTCCTTGACGGGTGGGGGAAACACAGCGGGTCCGCTATTGACGATCGTCTAGAAGTGGAGCTCGTTCTCGGTCTTCGCTGACGATCGCGCCTTCGTGTCGTGCGCTGCGGTCTCCTCCAAATAGCTTTGGAGCTGCAACCGCCAGGGAGAGGACAAACAGAACCGCGGCGATGACGAACGCAAATATCCACTGGAAAGCGACGACCTTGGTGGCAAGCTGACCCAGTGCAAGTGCTGTTGGGCAATCGTCAACAAATCATCACAAAGAGGTGTGTGCACGAAGACTTACACAATGCGAGAAGAGCCAGTTCAAGTCCGATCGTGTAGTCTTTGAAAACCGCAAGGAAGAAGGCACCCAACATGAGAATTCCCCAAATGAATATGTTTGCAACGATCCGGGCAGGGAGATGGGTTCTGTTATGTCCCACCATTGCGGCTCCATTCCAGAGGATTGCCACGTAGTTCCAGGCCAACGGTGCAGAGACGATCGGAGCGTGGATGATCAATGGAGTAGCGGAGTGGCCGAAGTAGAGCGCGGTCAGGTTGAAGAGGTTGACGATCAGAAGCAGCTCACCCTGCCAAAAGTAGCCTCGCACCCAGAGCATGATGAAACCGAACGTCAAGAGGTTATGCTGCACCAAGGTATCAGCCACGGCACGTTCAGTTCAGGCTTGAAGAAGCATACCAAGATGAAATGCGAACCGACATTGGCGGCGCTTGTGACATAATCTTTCTCTGCGCTCCACAAGAAACGAACATAATGAGCTTGGAATATCAGGACAACCACCCAGTATATGCTCGTCAGCACCGAGTTGACGCTGAAGCCGCTCGGATTGTGATTGTTCTGTCCCCATATCGTGTGACAATGCTGGTGCTTCGAGCAGTCGGTCGGCTTTTGAAACGTATAGACGGCACCGAAAATGACCAGCAAGAGCCAGGAGACGATGGTGAGGATCTTGTAGGCTAGCAGGTTTCTCGGGGTAAACTCCTCGCGCTTGGCGAAAGGGTTGTCTGTGAACAAGTGTTAGCTCGATATAACCTGAGAGGCCTCGAGTTCCGCAGGTAGCGTACAATCTGTCAGTGCCATCTTGGATTCTTCGGCAGCGGTCTGTGGTGTTTCGTGGCTCTGCTAGGAGGTTCGTGAAGGAGGTCGAGGCGTGGACTGAGCAGAGTTGAGGCTCAAGAGGGAGTCAGGGTTGAAGGCACCAGAGGCCAGAAGAAAGCAACTGCGCTAAGGGATGCAACATAGCAGGCTCTATTTCCACCCGAGGGTCCTCGTGATCGAGTGCTCTACGAGTTAGCAGTCGAGGAACCTGAAGTGAGGAGAATTGGAGCAGAGTTGCACCTTGGATACAAAATCCATCCATTCACAATCGTCAAATGCATGGAAAGCTCCGATAGCTGCAGGGATTTATGGGGAAGTTACGTCACCGATCTACGCTGCGTTTCACATGCTGTGAGTCGAGGTCAAGAGAGAAGTGAGGGTCGTACGAGTACTGCGTGACTGGGTCGATCAGCTAGAAAAAGACCTTGTCCTCATACTCTGAAGATTATCCAGAGATTGGACGCAGCTGTTTAAGTACACAAAGACCGTCCCCGCTGTCGTCTCTCCATTAAAACTTGGCCATTGCAGCCTCATAGGCGAACCCAAGCGTCATCTTGGCATGTTGCAACATGTGGTCGAAACTCAAGTATTTGATGGTGTCGTCCGACGTATGAATCTTCTTGTCCGAATACTCAAAGTCCGACTCGATCACAAAAGCTGACGGATAGCCGTACTTGCTTGCTGAAGCGTGGTCGGAGCAGGCATAGCCGCATTTTGTCAGAGTGTAAGGAATGTCGCAGTACGTGGTGATGATGCTCTCGACAAACTTGGTGAGGGCTGGGTCCACAAAGTCTGTGATGACGCCGACTGACTCGGGCTTCCCATGCGCAATCGTCTGCTCAACGTAGCCAGTCATGTCCTGTTGGATCATGGCCTTGATATCTCTGCCCTCCTCGTGATAGGACTTGAAAATGGCCTGACTGCCCAGCAGGCCTCCTTCCTCAGCAGAATACCAATGGAACTCGACCGTGTTTTCAGCCGAGCCGTTCACGATCTTTTGGGATTGAACCAATGCTGTCAAAGCCTCGAGGATCGTGACGGTGCCGCTGCCGTCATCGTCGGCACCGGGAGCGCGCAGAAACGGGAGGAACATGTTGATGCTATCCAGATGGGCACCGATCACAACCGTATGGTTTGTCTTGCCAGGCAAGCGGGCGATAATACTGGACTGTCCCCATGAATGAGGAAACAAGCTCAGGGAGGCGCTGTGGTTGAACGCGCCTGATGCTTCCATTACATCTTTGATCTGGTCGTGCAACCACAGAGCCGCATCGATACCGGTCTGACTCCTGAAGTAACGGGTGTGGAAGGATGTAAATGTTTCGAGGTGCTTGCGCATATTGTCCTTGTCGAGTGTCTTTGCCAGCGACCTGACAGTTTGGTTATGCTGTGGCTTCTTGGGATAGGTGACGGTGCTTGAGGCGAGGTCAGAAACGACGTATGGGTAGGTGTGACCATTCTCGGTGATATCCATGAACTTGATTCCATTCTGTTATGTCGCGGTCAGCATTAGCTACTCCGTCCCAGCACAAGAGTAGGCCTACCCTCATCAGTTCCCATTTGTCGTCTTCGGAAACCCATCTTGTCTCCCCTGGGCTGAGCTCAATCAAACATCTGTCCTGGTCGAAGAGCACTTGCTCATCGGGTGTGATCGCCTGCTGAACTGGGTTGTGGAGTGAACGAGCGCAAGCCGCAGCCGCCAGCGACGTGGCTAAGAAGCATAAGGATTTCATTTCGAATAGCCCACCTCACAGATTGGAGCTAGTAATACAAGAATCAATGGGAAATCCAAGAAATGCCAGTATGCATTTGAACAAGCACGGGTAATGTATCTTCAATTGGAGATCGCAGGCAACACCAAACAGACGAAGCTTGAGACTCGTTCCGGGTAGCCTGGGCGACGCCAACCCCACACTCAAAGGCGCTCCAGAGAAGAGCCTCACGTCGCCTAAAAGGTACCTTGGTATTCACAACCTCTCAACGCGCGTCTCACGCGACGTCAATAACATGGACTCAGTCGATGTTCCTTACCTGTGGGCGTAGTCATTTGCCGTCCGATGAGGTCTCGAGTCATTGTCCTGCTTCGAACTCTGTGATCAGATGATACCGCGGCATCCTCTGGCCAGATTGACTCACTCGACGCCCCCACGATGGCTGACGCTGGCCTCCAATTCGCTGGAAAGCGGGAGCAATGACTCCAATATCGCGATCTCACGGGGGCGCGGCCGGCTCGCCTCAACCTCACTCGCAGTTATGATAGATAGCTCCGTCTCCTCTTCCGTCCATCAACTTCACCCAAGATTAGGCATTATCTCGCCTTCAGATCGGTAGAGCCCGCGAGTTTGACTCGTTCTTCTGCTGAATTCGGATTTTCCTTTGCCACTGCGCCGATTACTTGCACGCGATAAGCAGGCGTCTTGACTCGATCACCCACAACATGGCCACTCACATCGTCCCGATCATGTCTACTCCTAGCGTTGCCACGTCTCCGGCCAGCCACGGCACTGACAAAGTGACTGCTCAGATGGGCAAGGTATCGATTGAGCAGGCGACATCGCCATCAACGACGCAGCGGACTCCTGTTGCCGGAGCCTCAGTGCGCATCACGGTCCCTCTTGACGCCACGTCGAGGACACTCTACTCCGATCAGAAGCTTCTACGCCGTGACAGCCTGGAGCGCCGCGAAGCTTTGCTCAAGGGCAAGGAAGGCTCGCGGCAGCGCAGGCGATGGGAGAACGGTACCCGGCATATACCCAGAGATTAGACTTCAATCAGACTAATGTAACTCTTATGACAGATCGATTGATCTCAAACCCATGGGCCGTCCCTCCCCTGGCGTCCGACTGGGAGATCCGTCCTACCTACCCACGCCGTACCGTGCCTTACTACCTTGCTCCTCTGTGGGACGCCGCGGAATTCCAGCGCGCCGTCGAGTCCAAGCTCAAGGGCCGTAGGAGTAGCACGAGAAATCATGGGAAGCGCGTCCACAATACCGGCATGAGTCCAATGGAAGAGGCAGCAACAAGCATTCCCAAGGAGGTGCGAGCCAGGTTGAAGCGAGCCAAAGCCACCAAAGGCCTGCTCCAAGACCTGGAAGAATCTGTGCGGACATTTGTGCGCGGGTGGAATGAAAAGGAAATTCGCCTCAGAAAAGACGGTCTTCATGATGTGCCCTTGACGAGCGATAGTGA